AACCCCCCGGCAGGCAGCGGGCCTGCAGAGACGAGGGGCCCCGCTGGCCGCTCGCGGGCCAGGTCACGGCCGGGCTGGGCGACGTTCGCGTTGGCAATATCTCCTCCAGGCATGGGCAAATCCCCGGGGAAGCGGCTCACATCCTAGAGTGCCAAGATCTTTCCTGCAACCTCCTAATCCCTGCAAACTGGTTTAGAGCTAAACCAGCGGTGTCATCTGCCAGGCTCCCTTTGCACACTCCTAGCCCGTCCTAGCTGACCTGCCAAATGGAGCGAGGGCAGGAGGTCTTGGAGCCCCAGGAAGGCGAAGCTGAATATAAACCGTGCTGGAGCGAGTCCCAGGCCAGCTTGCTCTGCTCATCCTCACTTCCAAATCTTTGGCGAGCCTGAAGCGCAGGGCACCAGCCTGTCTGGAGCCCCAGGCTGGAGGAGCCCTGCCTGCCTCTGCGACGGGATGGAGACAGGTCGCTGCTCCCACCGTGCTTTTGAGCCCAGCCCGGTGCCAGCTTGGGCTGCTCCCGTTAATGCCCGAGGACGGGGGTTTGCTCCGAAGTCATAACGCTGAACGGGCACAGCCAGAAAGCCACAGGAGGCTGCCACCTCCCCTGCCGGGGCCGGTCGCCTTTTGTCCCAGGGCACTTTGCAGGTGCCCAAGCCAAACCTGGCCTCTCCCGGGAGACCCGTCTGCGGGAAGGGAAATATCCAACAGGCCAGAAAGGGAAAGGGAGGACAACCGGGGGGACCCACTGCTCTAAAGAGCCCACGCTCACGGCATGAGCTCCCGTCAGGAGTCAACAGGACCCAGGACTGCTGCTCCCAGGCCCACACTCCAGCAGCTGGTGAGACAGTGCCCGGATCGAAGCGGCTATTAAAGCTCTGCGGTGAAACGCCTGGGCACAGGGAAGACCTTGCCTAAGCCCCCTCTGGGCCAAACACCCGGGGTGCCAGCACCCCCTGCCTCCGGCAGCAGGCAGGATGCTGTTCCCGTGCCTCGCCTGAGGCAGCCCGGCTTTTTACCATGCTCCTCGCCGACTCCCCCGCAGGCGCGCTCAGCACAGGACAGCATGGAGCCACCTGTGCTGACAGCTGGGGAACTGGAGTGGCTGGAAAGGCAGGAATCAGCTAAGCTCGCCACATGGCCAGCGCAGGACGGATGGCAGAGGAACAAGCTGCACGTCCCCGCCTTGGCAGCGTCCTCCGCGGGGCATCGCCACAGCCTGGGCCTGCAGCCACTAACACGTCACACGTGCAAGGGAGCTTTCCTCGCCCCGTGCTCCAGAGTGATTTACCCAGGGTTACTGAGCGGGATGGTGGCAAAGGCAGGAATGAAAGCCGGTGCTCTACCGCATCTGCCAGTCGCGTCCCGGGTAAGGCTGAGGTAAAGCGTGTGCGCTACCGCAGCTGCCAGTCGCGTCCCGGTTAAGGCTCCCGCCGGACTCCTGGTCTGCAGGACCCAAACGCGCTGCACGAGGGAGGTTCACATCTTTGATTTCCATCCACGGTCCGCGATGTGACCGTCCTCGCTGGGTAACACAACTTGTGCAGCTGGGAAAACCCCCTGCGAACCCCAGCAGGTAGACGGAGCATGCCGGCTGGGCCGAGCAGCGACGCGCGCCGCCGCCAGCGGAAAGTGGGAATTGGGCACTGGTTATATAACGCCAGGCACAACAATGAGTCAGGCACCAGGAGCATTATATAAACCTCCCTTCTCCCCGCTCTGTAACGAGCCCACCAGAGCCCAGCTGGCACGGGGAGCTCGAGGCAGGACCAGAGCCGCCGGGGCCACCAGGAGCGAGTCGGAGCCGGCTGGGGATGCTGCGGCAGAGCCCCGTGTCCCAGCATCCCGTGAGGCATCGCTTGGGAAGATGGACAGAGCCGAGCCCAGCCGAGGGGCACATCTGCCCCTGGCATTGTGACTTCCCCGTCGAGCCCTGGCCTCCAGAGTCGGGCTCTCGCCTCTTGCCTCTGCTTGGCCTCGGCCCCCGTCGCCGCGATGCTCATGCGCAACGACAACCAGGCTGGGGAGAAACAACTTACTGACCTACTTTGGGTTGCAGCACCTCGGGTCCTACGCGACGCGCTGGCACCATGCCACGGCTGGAGAAAAACGGGACAAGATCCAACATGTCAGGATGGAGGGAGAAAAACATCCCCCCCCTCCCTGCTCCTGTAACGTAACAGGCAGCGCGCCGGGCGGCACCGCAGAGCAGCGCTCACCCCTGTCACCCCCACGCCACGGCCGCGCCAGCTCTGCTCCTGCCACCCCTGCGGAAAAGAAGGTCTCCCCTGCCCCAAAAAGCCTCCTGGTCCTGCCTCCTGCTGCCACGGTCCCAGTCCCACCTGGACGCAGCCAGCCTCCCATCAAATGCCCCGAGTGCTGGGAACAGCAAAAATATTCTCCTCCTGTCCTGTCCCCGGTGCAGGAGGAACGATGAGACGTGTCCCTGCATTACAGCCCCGCAAGCAGCATTTAGCTCGTCCCTGCTGGGAGAAGGTGAACATTTGGCCCTAACAAGCGAGCCAAGAGCATCAGCTACCGCGGGAGTGAGCAGGAGCCCGGAGCCAGGAGAACGGCGTCTCCCCACCGCTGCTCATAACCCTGGACCCTCTCAGGGAGTAGCAGGGGCTTCATATCTGCAAATCCCTTGCAAATCCTTGGAGGAGAGGTGCCAGATACACGGACAAGAATATTAGATGTGCTGTAGCCAGAATCTGAACTGTGATAATAATTTGTTCAGCCCTAATCCCTTCCCTCCAGGGCTCACAAGTATTAATGATGACACACGGCCCTCCTGAGGAATAGGCAAATATTATTATTCTCTTCCCAATCTCTCCCATTCATTCACTCTCTGCAAAGTAGAGAAGCTACAGCACTGAGAAAACATTTAAAGAGACCGACTATTTAAGCACCGGTCTCAAATAAGCACAAGAAAATGTTTATGCCGCTAGATCCTTCTAAGTCAACTTCCCTCTAGAGGAATGTGAAACGGTCGCTTTGGACCGGTGGCAAGCACCTGTATTTATTCTCTTACGTCTGATGTCCACGCACTGATACAATTACAGCAGCTTTATCAGGACATTCAGGAGTTAGGAGTCGGGAAGGCTTTATCAGCCATGCAGATGAAATCCCACAGACAGCCCTGAAATCTCAGCATAGCCGGGCTGCAGCTCAAATCTGCGCCGTCCCCGAGAGCCGGGGAGGACCAGTCCCGGCGCCGCGCACAGGACTTTGCAGAGGGCCCCGCAAAATGCAGACAAATGACAGTCGGCTGAGAAACAGCAGCACAGCAAAAGCGAAGCGTCTGTAAGGCATAAGCCAGCCGGGGAGCCATGGCTGGCTCTCCGCCACATGCCTCTCTTTAGGAAGGAAGACCTTGAGAAACAAAAGATTATGCAATGCACATCAAAGTAACCTGTGTCTGACCTCTGGGATTTAACTGTCAGTTAACCCCCTTGTTTTCCCAAACCGCCTGGATTTCCAGGGATATCCCGACATTTCACACCGCTGCAGAGCTGCAGAAAACCCGGCTCAGTTCCTCCAGCAGCAAATGTCCTACAGCCCCCCAGTAACAGACTGGAAGAAACCATTGCAAGGAGGAAGGAAGAAAAAGCCTGCCCCCTCCGCCAGGCAGCGATGCGTTCAGGTGCCCCCTCGCTCCCAAGCTGAAAATCCGAGCAGATTTGCAACGCACATAGCAACAGCAGTTCTTCATCCAGAGCCAGCAATAATTTACTGCAATTGCATCACAACGGCAGCTGTACCTAAGTTTTATTGCTAGGCACCTTTTTAACCCCTTGCTCAAAGCATGCTCATCTAACAGGGCTATTTAAGCACAAGCAATCCCGTACTGCTCCGAGGGCTGCTGTCTGCCCCCCCCTCCCCCAATCCCATTTAACGCCTCTCAAATCCCTTCCGATCTTCAGCTTTGACACCGATCTTTTGGCCATTTTGCTCCCTAGGAAGCCCACCGTCCTCCTCTCCGCTTCAGCGCATGCCCTACATCCCGGCTGCTGCTCCAGGTCCTCTGCACAAAGAGGGAGAGACGGACCATCATGCTCACCTCATTTATTGACAAGAGTTGCCGGGAGTCGAGATTGCACATTAAAGGCTTTCCGATCTTCAGCTTTGACACCGATCTTTTGGCCATTTTGCTCCCTAGGAAGCCCACCGTCCTCCTCTCCGCTTCAGCGCATGCCCTACATCCCGGCTGCTGCTCCAGGTCCTCTGCACAAAGAGGGAGAGACGGACCATCATGCTCACCTCATTTATTGACAAGAGTTGCCGGGAGTCGAGATTGCACATTAAAGGCTTAATCTTGCAGGAGGCAAAGTGGGGGGAAGAGGACGAGGCGCAGGAGCCGGCGCGGGCTGCAGGCTGCGCGCGCTGGCGGGCGGCTCAGCTTGGCGGCTCCTCCGGTTACATTATTTTTGCCGGTGTGGCAGGAAGGATGGAGCGGTCCCCTTCGGCTCGGCTCAGCTCATCGGCTTTAGGCTGAGCTCTCTCCTCCCATCTTCTCCCCATGAGGCCCGGCGGGGGG